TGCTAAGCAAGACAGTTAAGTGAATTTGGCCCCATTTTATGACTTTTTGTGCCATAGTTAAATGAATAATGCAATAAGTGAATCTGGCTTCCCCCACTGACTTTGCTTGTTGAAGCCGGCTGGGAAGGTTAGGAATAGTGGTAACATGATCCTAGGACAATCTGTCATTAATACATGCCACTTGCCAAGTATCCTAATTTTGATCACATGACCATGAAGACACAGCAATGGTCATAAGTGTGTAAACTGATCATAAGACACTTTTTTCAGTGCTGTTGTAACTGTGATCAGTTACTAAGCAAATGGTTGTAAGTCGAGGATTACCTGTAATAGAAAAATCTAGGATATATATGGATTTTATAACTACCAATTATCAGTGACTCTTGATTTCAAGATGTGTTTACCTACACTTAGTTTAATTAAGATGACCAGTCCAATTTTCTTAGTCCAGAATACACTGAATCACAGAATTACTTCACAAACTGGACTAAAATTGGCTGGCTGGTTTGTGGCTCAGTGTGCCCTGCAAACCAAGCCAGTCGATTCCCGAAAGTTCACTTCCCCGGCCGCTATAGAAAAGCAAGCCCCATCAGCCCCATCCCGTTGGTTACCATAAAGGAAATCAAAAGCCCGGTTGGGAGCCATCTTCCTCCGATACCGGATCCCAGTGTGGTCCAGCGGCTGAACAACGGTCACCGATTGAGTCATCTTGCGGCCACCTTGGTCTCAGCCGCCGCTTCGGATGGTTGTCGGCGCCGTCCACATAGCAACCGTTTCCCCAGCAACAGAGCCGAACTAAAAAGGCGCCATGTCATTTCCTGGAACGATACCATAGAGCGGGAGTTGGAGTGCAAATTGCCCAGCCGCTATGTCGCTTGGAGTCTTTTCTTGACGCTTTGGCCAGAAAAAAGGAGCAATGCGTCAGTATCAACAAGACTTTTCTTTCACATTTGGGCGAGTTAGGAAAAGAGCATTTCCATTAAGAATATATTTTTGGGAGAATTTGTCTCGAAAACTCAAACTAGTCACCCAGAAAACTGAAGAGAAGCCACCGGGTATTATAAATTCCAATCTAATGAGCCATTTGTATAACATCTATGCGCGTGGATGGGCGAATTTGCTTCTAGTCGACTTTTGTGACTTCACGGACATATCCACTTATCGTCTTCCATGTTTTGTTTTGTTTGTTTACCCCTATGTCCTGGGATTGTCTTCTCTGTTCTGATCAGATCCGACGTTGTTTATAACATTCTGCTGCCACCTAGTAGAGCTTTACGGGCATTACCTCAATAAAAGCATTTATTTTAAGAATTCAAAATAAACAACGAAACTACTATTTAAAACTACAGTATACAGTAGTTGGAAAGTCCACCTGACCTAGTTGACAGTTCCTTAGAGAATGAAGGGGGAAAAGTCATATTGTAGATCAAACGGAATAATGATCTTAAAATTAAAAAATAATGATCTTAAAACTAAAAAACTAAAAGGATTTATTTGCGGCTCGGCTACTTCGGGGGCCATTAGACACAGTCTGCCGTAAAAAAAGTTGACCAGTAGTCTTAAATGCCTCGTTGTCCTCCATCAGAAGAAGCATCGCCGCATTTCCTTAAACTTCTTCATCCTCTGCTCGATCTTGGATTATTCCAAGACAAGGTTTGCATATAGAACAGGGGTCTTCAAACTCGGCCCTTTTATGACTCATGGACTTCAACTCCCAGAATTCCTCAGCCAGCGTGCCTGATTGAGGAATTCTGGGAGTTGAAGTCCATGAGTTATAAAGGGCCGAGCTTGAAGACCCCTGATATAGAACATGGGAGATGTGACGTCACAAACAGCTGGGAGTACCGTAACCTAGTGGCGACGACGGAAATCCGAGACCGAAACTGTCCTTCCCCATAGGCCTGCGTCCTGGCTGCTTGGGCGCATGCGCAAAGCAGAAGGGATGTCGAACCTAGCCTCCTGTGATCCGGCGGGTCTCCAAGCCCCCGCTCAGGCGGAGCAAAAGCCGCCGCCTTCGCTGAAGCCGTGTTGTGCCTGCCCCGAGACGAAGCAGGCGCGCGACGCCTGGTGGGTAACGGGGGTTACGGGAGAAAGGGCACGTGGGCAAACTAGGAACCTCGCTATGACATGTGTAGGCGTGGGGCAGCATGGACAGTTTTGCACCTCGGAAAACGGTATCCAACTAGCCAAACCTCAGAAGTCAATTTCCCCGGGTGTTTTTAAGCGCTTCTTCTAGACTGGTCCAAAGTCGGGAAATGGCTAGTAGAACGTTTGTCCCAGTTATTCCGTGATAGGAGAAAGCGCCCCTCGTTGCTGGAGCAACAGAAGTGTGCTGTTTCTCGATTAAGTCGTAAAATAGTCCCGCGTCTTGTTCTAAATGAACGCGTGTATTTCTTCCTGGGTAGAAATGGTGATATCAGAAAATAGAAGAGCTCATTTCTAAACTTGAAAGATTATTGTTAAATGTTTTAAACTCGGTTTTCAAACATTTAAAAATGAAGCCTTGCCACTGCTAGTACGAACGATTTATTGGAAAAGACTGCCTGGAAAACAAAATCATATTATTGAAATTTATTGTGGCACTTTATACAAACATACAAAATATGTTGTGGCTTCAGTCATAGACTGCCAGAGCACGCACAGTCTTATTGTGCTGAGGTAACCCAGGAGTAAATACAGTAAACAGTGGTTTGTATTAAATGTGGTTTATATTACACACTATCTACAACTATATACTAGGAACAAAATATATACACGTGGTCATTCAGCAAACTCCAATACATCGCAGTTACAGCAGGAAATGGACTGGAGAGAAAGACTCTAGCAAGACTTTTCCTTTTATACTCAAGCTATTAAAGGGATACAGACTCCTGCTGAGTCATTCCTAACATTGCATCATTCATCTCACGTTATACAAGCTGGTTAGCTTCTAAATCAGAGGTCAAATCCGCGATGTCACATGACGTCGCGCAACATATCGGACCTTTTTCCCCATTGCCGGCAATGGGGTGGGTGCGGTTTCCTGGTGACGTGTCCAGCTCAAGGGCCGGCAGTTTGACACCCCTGTTCTAAATCATTACCTTGACATAGACTAGGGGTAGGCAACCTTGGCTCTTTTATGACTCGTGGACTTCAACTCCCAGAATTCCTGAGCCAGGAATTCTGGGAGTTGAAGTCCATGAGTCATAAAAGAGCCAAGGTTGCCTACCCCTGACATAGACTATGAGGTGGCTAATAATTATTGAACTGCCAACTTAGTATTAATACTGTACAGAGCAATTTAACACCCGATTAGTATTAAAAACTTGCTGAATAATGTGCTTTAAGTTGAATATAACAACCTCATTCTCGAAAGCTATGCAGAAGCCAGTTATTGGGTATGGATATTGCTTTTTGTAAGAGAGACTGGGTTGGGAGACTGAAGTTATTCTTTAATCCTAAAATTTACAAGCCTCAGGGGAACTTGTTAATTACAGTTTTGAAAATACCTAGGTTAACATTGTCTCAATTCATTATACCATATATTTAAAATATATGTGGACAGATTCTCACAATTTCTAATACCTAGTTAAAAAAAGATTTACTAAGACAACTTTTTAGAAATTAAAAAAAAAAGTTTAAAAACAAAGCATACTATAGCTCAGGGGTCTTCAAACTTGGCCCTTTTATGACTTGTGGACTTCAACTCCCAGAATTCCTCAGCCAGGCACGCCAGGGCCAAGTTTGAAGACCCCTGCTATAGCTGAACTTGCCTCAAATTTAAACTCAATCAAACCTAGCCCTGGGTGCTATCAAAGCCCTGAACTTTGATAGCAGCAGTTCAAGGCTAAGTTTCTCCTCTACAAATGTTTTGCCAGTCTTGCACAATACCAAAGTCTCTAGCACAGTGTTTCTCAACCTTGACAATTTTAAGGCATGTGGACTTCAACTCCCAGAATTCCACAGCCAGCAATGCTGGCTGTGGAATTCTGGGAGTTGAAGTCCACATGCCTTAAAATTGTCAAGGTTGAGAAACACTGCGAAGGGCAGAATACCCTGCTTCTGGAAATTTGATGAATCTATATATCTATGCCATGTTTTGCTCCCAACCAAACTAGAGGAGTAATCAAGGGGTAGAGGATTAATCAAGGGGTAAAGCTGAGGCAGGAGGCTAGCTGTCCAGTCTCTCTTTTCTATATGAACCCAGTTTTTTTAAAACTCTTCCTACAAAACTGTGGAAGTCTCCCAATCTTTACTGAAGCAGTTATACTAGTGGTTTTATTTCCCTTTAGCCAGCATAAAGGCTGTATATTCCTGAACAGAAACTTCTTAAATCCAACAATTGCCAGCTAAAAATTAATGGAATTAAAACATATGTCTTCTCACTGTCCAACACCTCTCACTCTCTGGAGAAAGGCTTGGTAGATGCAGAATTATCTCTTTTTAATCTCCTCTAGAAAAAGAAAGGCAGTTACCACCCATTATTTTCAAAGGTGGTTGAGAAACATATCTATATTTGTATATCTACATCTGCATCTACATCTTTATATCTCTATCCATCTATCCATCCATTTATTTTTCCAAGTTTTGGTGATGTTCTGGGAAGAAAATTCCCATTTTAAAACTTTAAACCCTAAAGTTTTAGGAGGAAGTGGTAAAATTAGATATGTTTCCCCTTACCCCTCAGCATCACTAACGTTTGCATTGTTTTGCTTTGGGGATTGTAGTGCACTCACTGCTGCTTCATAAACAATGAGGTCACTTTGGAAAACAATTTGCTAAAGAGTTGTGGGTGGCTGTAATGGCTTTGGCATTGATTACACTGTTTGCTTCATTTTTCTTCTTCAGAGCTCAAGTCCCACTCTTTCTTCTGCTGCTTAATACAACTTGCTTCCAGGTCTTAAATTTCTTCATGTTAAATTAATTTTATTCATTTCAAAAATTTAGAACTGTATAATGATTCTGGGTATTGTCTCTAGGTGTATGTGTATATTTGTAAAAATAAAAATCCATATATTGCTAGGGTGGCCCAGGTTAATACTGGACATTATTTTACAGTTGAATCTTGTTATTTGCAGATTCCATACTGCAGATTTATCTACTCACTAAAGTGTATTTGCAAAATCAATACTTATGATGCTTTTGCAAACATGCCAAGGAGCAAAAATTTGAGTCACCCAACACACACATTCCCAGTTGGTATTCACTAATTCAGTGATTGCAGCAACTTTATAAAATGCAACTACTGCATATAACAATAATTCTTTATAATGAGGAAATCAATTGAATGTGACGTGTTCTATTTAAAATAAGGCCTTTGTGAGCAACCATGCCTAAATGTCAGCAATTTTATAAATCAGTATAGCTCTGTGGTAGCTATTTTGAGGTGGTCATTGATACCTCCCAAGAAAATATTCCAAACCTCAAACAGATTGAATAGTTTTTCAAGTTTGTTTGTTTCTTTATTCAATTTATAAAGCCATTTACCTTACATATGTGACTCTAGACAACTCACAATAAGAAAATACACAGTATAAAAAGAAAACACAAAAGTTGAGCATCAGAAAACAACTATCCAGATAGCCAGGAAATGGGCTCTGTCACATGACCAGGGCCTCAAAATTGGGCATCCAGTTTTCAGGGCCTTATAGAAGGTTAGTAAAGATATGGCTAATCTAATCTCACAGGGGATATTGTTACAAAGGGCAGGTATCATGGCAGAAAAGGCTGTCCTCCTGGGCTCTGCCAGCCAGTCCTCCATGAGTGGTGGTACCCAGAGCATCCCCCTTCTGCTGAATGGGGTAGAGACAATTGGGGACAGATGATCCTATAAGTAACCCATAAATTGGATTAAAAAAGGTCCCTACAGCAAGTGTAACTATCACTTCTATATGTTTTGGTCTAGTGGCCTGCATCAGTATTGAAACAGTAATATTTTTATCCAATGGAAAATTCTGAACCATCTTCAAAATCAAGCCTATATAAATACATTAAGTTAATGAAGCTTGGAAGCAACTTGATACATCAATATCCAAAGTCAAATCTGTCCGGTAAGACAGATTTGTTGCTGGCATACTAATTTAAGATAGTATAATGTACTCTTGCTCAAGAATATGTAGACCTATACAACAGGTAAGCCCATCTTGCATACATTGTTCAGGGAAAGTATAAAAAACAAATATTGTAATTCATACTATCACCTGTGTTGGTGAATTCTTCAATTCATAATAATTTAATTTCACTAGGGTTGAATTGTGTTTTATTCAATGTCACAAATAATTTGGTGGAAAATTTAAATACTCTTTCACAAAGTGCAGTTAAAAGCAGCTGAAAGGTGAAAAAAGAGCCAAAAAGAAAAGGAACAAGAAGCTCCTCTTCTCTTGCATCAGACTTTCTCTTCAAATTTAACATGGTTCTGCTTTTTTTGTTTGCCAGTGATGATAATGTTGGTAGTGTCCTGCTCTTCCAGATCTTTCCACATCTTCCAATCTTGCACTACTTCTTTGAGTTGTTCTATGGTCTGGTTGTGTCAGCTTTGAATAGTGTCCAGCAACCTTGTTCTTTTGCCTAGTTTCCTTTTGCTGCTAACTTTTCCAAAGATAATTACCTTATCCAATGAATTCCCCCACATGACACAGCCAAAATAAGTGAGATGCAGTTTTGTGATTTTGCCTTCCACTGACATGTCTGATGTTATATGCTCCATTACTTCCTTATTAGTACCTTTGCTGTCCAAGAAATATGCAGGAGCCTTCTCCAGCACCATAGCTCAAAAGAGTTGATTTTCTACCTGTCTTGCTTTTTAAGGTCCAAGCATATATAGCTACAGGGAACACAATAGAGCGGACTAACCTACATTTGGTTGCCAGACTGATGTCCTTGCTTTTTCATATTCAGCTCATGTTCATCATTATTGTGCGACCCAGTGCAATTGAATATTTTATTTCTGGGCTGCATTCACAGCTTTGAGTGATCTGTGATCCTAGGAGAGTGATTTTTTCCACGCATTCTATCTCTTCATCATCATTTTCTATTTTGAGGTTTCCATTCGTTGCAGTGGTTATGAGCTTGGTCTTTTTGATGTTGAGAAAGAGACCAAAATTCTCACTTTCTTCTTTGATTTTCTTGATCAGAATTCCTGACCCTCTTTGGTTTCTGAGAGGAGAGCTGTATCATCAGCATATTGAAGATTGTTGATATTTCTTCCTCCAATCTTTACTCTGATTTTTGATTTATTTATTTTATTTATTTATTTATTCAATTTTTATTCAATTTTTATTCTTCAGGATCTAGCTTCCTCATGATTATTTCAGCATACAGATTGAATAAGAAAGGGGAAAGAATGCAGTCTTGTCACCAGTGTTTTTTATTTGCCAGTAAAGCAATTCAAATAAGATCTGACTATATTAAATGACCTGGATAAGGGAAGGAGGAGAACTTGGTAACATAGGAGTATTACAGCTAGTCAGAGCTGAAGTCCAAGGCCTTAGGTGAGGCCTTAATTTATGAAATCACTTAAAGGGGAAATGTTGTGTTGCAGCATCATCGAAAAAGGAGAAGAAAACTGTGGCCATCTTATTGAAGCTCACAAGGAGTGCATGAGAGCTTTGGGTTTTAAGATATGAACAAGATGAGTCATATATTGGAATCTTTCATAGGTAGGTAACTAAATTGCTATTTATCAAAACATGACTTAATCAAAAAATATGGGAAAAATATAATAATTTCCTAGCAATTGCCACTGCATTTGTGAGTATAGAAATTTTTGTGAGATGCGAAGCATGCATAATCTATAATAATCTATAATATGCCTATTGCATTTTCCTGTTTCCAATTTGTCATTCAAATGTGTTTTGAAAATTTTATTTTAGTTTGAAAATCTAAAACTGCCTTGTTTTGCTGCAATGAAAGTGAAATAGTATTTCTTCTTCTCTTAATCCAGGGGTAACAAACTCGCAACGTCACGTGACATGTTGCGATGTATCGTGACTTTTTTGCCATTGCCGGCAATGGGATGGGCGCTTTTTTGCCATGACGCATCCGGCCCGCGGGCAGGCAGTTTGACACCCCTGTCTTAATCATATTTTCTAGCAATCTTTCCTATTTTCCTTTTTAAACCTAAGACTCTTTAATTTCTTCAGAGATATAAATATCCCAATTTATGGATGAAATAGCTCCTTTCCTTTTATCTGCTGTATTTCTACTTGGAAATAGGACTTGGCACAATTAAATTGAATCAGCCAAGTATTCTTACTAAGATAAAAAGTTATTTTTGGGGAGTAGTATAATTTTATACTTTAATTATACACATTCTACTTAATAATGCATGTATGAATTGAAGGTTACTATCAAGGGTACATTGGCTGCATCCTCACAGATTGAATCACTTTTAATATACACTTTAGGGATATAAACCGAGTTTAAGAATCAATGAACTTTGTCACTTTTTGTCTGCAGGAGATATGTTCCAAAAATGTTATTTCCTTAAAAGTTATGTATTTCCCAATAACAGAGTATTCTCATTTTGATTTCTATCAACAGCAAAATGAAAAGACCCTTATAACTGATAGTCCTACACATATCTAGTAACATATAATAACCCCACCATAGGATTCACATCCTGCTGCTGATTTGTGAATTTAAAAAATCTGAAAATATATTAATCCTAAAAGAATAAAATAACCAGTGTGTAGGATCATTATATGTGAAGCAGGTCCCCAGTGTTCTGTGGTCTTTGTTCTATTTTAACTCTAACTAATTGATATATATTTATAAATTAACTGTGATTTTTGGCTTGTCAGAGGACTCCTGCTTTCCTTTCTCTGTTGAAGGAACTGCAGGACCAATCTCCTGTGTTATCTTTTTTAATATAAAGACAGGCCTCTATAATAGAATATAATAGAACTGGAAGGGACCTTGGAGGTCTTCTAGTCCAGCCCCCTTAGTTGTTGCCATCTTTTGCTAAGAAATCTGAAATATATATTTTCTACTATCTAGAAAATAGTTCAGCTTATATATTTTTGTCTGCTACAAGCATTTGTATACTGCTTCTAAGATCTAAGGGTTGCATAATAGAATTAATTGGAATAATCTTCACACACATAGTCCAAATCATTATCATACATACCTCAGCCATCAACTAAAGTAACAAGGTCATGATAACCAGATACTACAGGGACCCTCAGTTTACATAGCATATCCTGCCTTAACCCAAGCCCTAGAATAGGGAAGATACAAAGAATAATACTCTTTGCCAGCAAAATGGAATAAACTTTGCAAGTTTTGTTAGAATGGTAATAAAACATATCAAATATTTGACAAAAGCACTACAAGAATGTTTATGTTCCTTTAAAATCTGGGAGGTTTTTTGAAAAGGGACGTGCGCCCTTTAACTTAATTGTGTTCAAATCCATCATCATTTTTTCTGTCAACAATAACTGAAGATTCATCCTGAATATGATTTGAGTTTGAATATATACTAATATACATAAGAATCAGACTTTTTGTTGATTTCTTTGGGCAATTAGCAAATATTCTATGTATAATGAGATAAATATATAAGAAATACTGGGGAAGAAAACCATTAAATTACAGCCAATAGTACATAATAACTTACAGCATATGATATATGCTATGCTATACTATATACTATACTGTACTGTACTATACTATACTATACTATACTATACTATACTATACTATACTATACTATACTATACTATACTATACTATACTATACTATACTATATTTTCTGTGTGTAATATGTAAGGACTTTTTAAAGAATTACTTAACTAAAGAACTATAAATGAAAAATCTACTGAAAATTAACAGTTATATAGAGCAACAACATAACAGGATCATATGCTGCCATTGCAACATTAAAATGGAATAGGCCTGCTTGTTCTGAATTAGTTCTGTGACTGAAATCCAGTATTCTCTCCATTGGTATTCTGCCTTCAACAACAGTTTGCAAAAGTTTTTTTTTAACTTCTGCTCTGATAGCCAAAAGTTCCAAGAAAGAGATCAGGACTAGAACTTTGGGGAGGTCCAAATCCAAAGGAAGCTGAATTAAAGTAGTGCTGGTTTTTCCACAAGAATGTAAAATATCTGTCCCAATTGTCTCTGAGTTTATTCAAATTGAATGTATAAACTAGAAGCATTACTCATTACAGTATATGCATAAAAGCATTGCATAAAAATGTTCTTTGATTCTGTTTTTAATGTCTGGATATTCCAAATCTATTTTTTTTATTGTTAAGTCCTAGATAACTATAATTATTACTAGAGAATTGGTGACCTGTTGGGTTATCCTTTCAGAAATATTTCATTACAAGGTTCCTCAATGCCTTCAACAATGACAGAACTTCTAATGTATTGCCTTCACTGGAAAAGTTGGTATACATTGAGAGATCTTTCTGTCTTGAAAATAGTATAGTACAGTCAAGCATCAGCACAGTAAATATTTTATAACATTTTGTAATGTCATAAACTATTTTATAGTCAATTTTATGTTATAAAATGTTTTATAAAATTGCCATATTTAATTCCATGGGAGTCATGGGTCCTGGATTGGGGATGTATTCTGTAAGTTAACCCATTTGCTGTATCTCAAATGGTTCAGAAATTGTTGCCCTAGGCTGCACTGTTTCCTCCAATTAAAGCTTACGGGATTGAGGGTTTTAGTAGTATATAGATAAATACTAAACAGTTTCTTATATTTTTTCCCTTTTTCCTTTAGGTGATTTACTGTGGATAATTGGAAACTTTACTTCCACAACTGGTTGAATTGCTTTTTGATGTTTTTTATGAGAAGATGAAGTTTTGGGAAAAAATATTTAAAATAAGTTTTAAAATCACAACAATATATTGCCTTAATCTATAGTTTGGATTTGAGAAATTGTGATACTAAATTATTCTTAGTATTTAAAGTTCTAATTTAAATAGAGCATTGTTTCTTTCCTGTACATAAAATATTATGAGAGTGAACAATAAAGCAATTTGGTCTGAATACAGGTAATTTTATTGAAATTTAATAAATATTAAAGTGGCAGAAGAATTGTTCACATCTTAATTTCAAAGCATGATTAGCACCTGGAAAGAAACTGCAAGCCAGTGCAGCTTGTACAACAGGTGCTACATTGGCTACCTTACTGTGTGTGCTGCTGCATTCTGGATCAGTTCTAGATAATCTTCAAGGGTGGCCCCATGTAGAGTGCATTGCAATAACCCAAATGCATTCTCACAGACATCCAGGCTTGCAGCAACTCTTACTTTCCTTCATACTTCTTTAAGGCAAGCAGTTAAGAGACTATAATGCTAATATATACCCTAATCGAGTATCTTATACTGTATGTTCAAGTCAAGTTAACCTCATTTATAAACCTCTGATTTTTGTCTGGAACTTAATGTTTTTATCAGCTACCTGGACATGCTCATTGAGATAACTCCTGGTGCATCGTTCTGGATGCCTTCACCAGTGTGAGAGGGGAAATAGGATAGCCAGCATATATTTTTGTGCATACATGCAAAATTGCACTATGACAATATTACCCATTACTCTTTCTGGACAGTACTTCTCAGAATTGAGAGTGACTACAGTTAGCCTAAAGTCCCCAGCTGCTTTTCATGCCTAAAACAGGAGTTGTGATCACATTTCTAATCCAGTATCTTTAAGCCCCACAACAAAATTGTACTCTAACTAAAACTAGCTTGCATTAAAATATTCCCCTATACATCTCAGTATATATATGGAAATCATTCTTGCTTCCTTCAGGTTCGTATACTGATTTGTACACTACAGCTGTTATGACTACCATTCCAACGCTTGTCAGCCTGCCCACACTTAGGAATTTTGACCACATGCTGGCGGGGGCTCTTTAACTCCACCATCTCTGCCCTTTTGACCATTGTGCAACTGGCATTCCTTGGTGGTGGTGGCAGCACTGGTGCTGACCAAGTGCCCAGGGTTCTCTGCAATCTCAGCCAGCTGCCTCGGCCTCCAGGCTTCTACTTCCACCATCAAGGAGTGCTGCCTCAAGCCCCATGCCACAACCTGCCACCGCAACACCATAGTGCAAAGCCTCAGCTGCGCCTGGCACCCTGTGCTTGGTTCATCTTGCCAGCCCTGCTGTCTTGTACTCTGCTCTCCCTGCACTCCATTTGCCATGACTGTCTAGCCTCCCTGCTGCTCAATGCTCCATTTGCCACCTGGTGCTGCTGCCCTGTGCTCTCCTCATCCTATAGAGCAGTGTTTCTCAACCTTGACAATTTTAAGGCATGTGGACTTCAACTCCCAGAATTCCACAGCCAGCAATGCTGGCTGTGGAATTCTGGGAGTTGAAATCCACATGCCTTAAAATTGTCAAGGTTGAGAAACACTGCTATAGAGGTAATGGGGTTTAAGGCAACCCCCAGACAGGAAGAAGGGGAGGAGATAGGCTGGTGATGGAAATTCTAGTCCCAAATTCCATTATTTCCTACCTTGGTAACATTTTGGCTCTGGCAATCTCTTATGAATCTTTTGCATAAAAATGAAAAAAAACCCTTGTGATTTATAATTTTCATGATTAGGCTAAATTATAGACAAAAAGTATTATGATGTAACTTTTAGACAGGTTAAATATGTGAAGAACATTGGAAGCTACTTCTTTCCTAATTTCAATGTTTTGCTTGCTTTCTCTTTTTCTTTATTTTAAAATACTTTGCATTAGTTTTTAATCCTTTTAAAACATTTTTAATAAAAATCATATAAAAATACCTCAAACTATTTATTTTCATTGTTTAACTTTCTTGTTCTCCTCTGCCCAATAATAAGCCTAAAGTAAAAGCCTGTAAACTCATTCCAGTTTCTCATGTTCTGAAGAGAGCATGTGATTTATAAAGCCATTCAAAAAGGAAATATTTATGTTTTTATTCTTGTTATTTTCGCTCATACTGCCAAGCAGTTTGAAAATATTAGCATAATATTTATGTGGATATATTTGATGAAACACATGCTTGTGACCTTTCAGTGGGATTGATAAGAAGGATGTACTACTAACGGTAGAACGAACATGGAAAGTTCAATGGATTTAAAATCCTCCCAAGTGTTGATGAATTTTTATTTAATCATGCCACCCAGTAAACGCAGTGGGTACAACATCACTCTTTTTAGATTTTTTTCCAACATAGTTTACAATTTCCTTTAAATCACAGTTTAAAAAATTGGTAAGTAAAAGTTTGCATAAATGGAATAGCTGAAAAATATTAATAAGACATAAAAGTCACTTCATCTCACTGCATTGGAAAAAGAATACACTGGTGCCATCCCAAAGCAATTATCAAAATGTTCTGATAATTAAACAACAATGACAAAACTAAAACTTTCTGCTGAGTACAGAACAGATTTGACAAAAATTATCTGGTTTAGGAATTGGGAGAATTGTTCCTTTTGTATTATGTCAGAGTGCTTCAACTCCAGTTACTAATATGCTTGTTTGGATCAGTCAATCCCTTTAGAATTAGACAAGAATGCACACTGGAGAGTGAAGAAGCAAAGAATGCACTATGCAAGATGTAGCACACTCACAAACTGTCCCTATTTCTGGACCCATGTTGCCAGGAATAGATTCAAAGTATTCCACAAAACAAGGGGGCCAGCAATCCTAGAAAGTACTATAAAGACTATATTTTCTTTCTATAACTGATATTTTCCCAAATGGAAGACAACTCTGAATATAAGCTACACCAATTCAAATGTAAAATTGGACACCAAACTTCTTACCTGCTTCATTTAATGTATTCTCAGTTAATTGAAGACAACCTTCTCATTTTAATTATAAATTACTTGGGGTGGGAGAAACCAGCTTCAATTTCAGAAAAGGAATCGTCCTTGCCTATTCTGATTTTCTGCTGATATTCTCTTAAGTATCCCAGCTATCTGCATCCTCTGTATTATTATATAAAACTCCCTTTTTATGATCCTACAATCTCTTAATTTGGGGTAGAGTCAGAATGGCTGGATGAAGCTGAGCGTTTACTGGTTGGATGCCCTTCCTGACGCCACAGAGTTCGCAGTAGATATTTTTTCTTTGCGGTCTAGGAGAGAAATATCTGCCACTACTTAGGATTGAATTCTCAACCTTCCGAGTGGACACCACACCACTCTTTCTGTATGATTATATATCATATTATGAAGATACTTATTCAAATCCTTTTTAGTCTCTTAATTTATTGCTTTAGTTGTAATAATGAACTCCTTCTCCTCCTCCATGTAAAAATACTCTGGTGATAAAGGATATCAGAACAAACAGAACTCTGTGCAGTATTCACAAACAATGCTCTGTAATCTAGTTCTCAGAGTTATGTTAAGTGGCAAATGTCTGGCTGGTCTCTCTTCCCGTTCTAGCCTTTGCTTCTTGGATTTCAATTCCAAACATGGTTATCTATGTAGTGCCTTGCTCTTCTTTCATGCTCAGTGCTATACATTCCAAATTAAACACTAGTGCCCTCTGCTTGTCTTCCCCACCCCTTTAGCTCTCCCTGCTGCTCTTTCACTGTGTCTATTTTAATTTATCTCAAGGCAGGGGAGAGAACAAGCTGCAAATACTCTTAGCTACTCTGATTTTTCCAGTTCTCAAAAGGCACTTCCGGGATAGAATTTCTCATGCTTCTACAAGTTCATCAGCCAGGTCTCAAATCCCATCAAGAAGGCTGGGTATTGATTGCAATTGGTAGAAAATAACTGCAGGAGTTGTTGGATGCAAATACATAATTTCAGAAATGTTCCTCTAAAATCTCCATAGAGGTGTCGGTGTAGGAATTGGCTTCAGTGTATTTCATTAATTTCAAAGTGAGTTAGGTGTAGAAATTACGGGAAAATGAGTGAAGAAAACACTCTTTTGGATCGGATAATTTTTAATCCAGTTTTGTGTGAGAACTGGAAATACATTATGGAAGGAGCAGCCTATCACCTTGCTAGTTTCTTCCTCCTCCTTGGCTATATGGGAGGTAGTGGAACCTTTGGTGCCATCTATATTTTTGGATTGTTATCCATTGGCTTTCTTTGCTCTGCCATATGGGGCTGGCTCAACGCTTGTGGATTAGACATCATCATTTGGAATGTGCTTTTATTTCTGATCTGCTTGTTTCAGCTAGCACATTTAATTTACCAACTCCGTAAAGACACTTTTTCTGAAGAATTTGATCTCCTGTACAAACAAATTTGCCAGCCTTTGCAAGTGCCTCTCCAAACTTACAAAGAAATAGTCAAGTGCTGTGAAGAACAGGTCTTGCCTTTGGCCAAAGATCAAACTTACACTGTGGAGGGCAAGACACCCATAGATCGTTTGTCCTTCTTGCTCTCTGGCAGGTAGGTCTCTCTTTCTCCTGAAAAAATACCCTGTGATAGTGGTGCTTTTGAACACTACTAAGTGGTTTCAAAGGGTAGAGAGGCAAAGGAGCTGCATGCTTTGCTCTTTCTCACACTATGGAAGCAAAATCCATTTTTTTCAACCCAATCTGCATTCTGAGGAGTTGCATAAGTGTGTGCATGGTCATTATTTCTGAGAACGGCCTTTTTACCTGGATAAAATGGGGACGGGGAGCATATGAGGAAGCATTTGATCATGTGACTCATCATTTTCAGTGTGTATTTGAACAGCCCAGAAACAAAGTTTAAGTGAAGGCCTTTAGCCCTCTTAACTTTAAAATATGAATATAAAATATAAAAAGAGGGTGATCAGTGGGGAAATGAAAACTAATGGGCTTAGGCCCCATTGCTTCTCTGTTGCAAACTGACTCCTCCAAATTTACGAAGGTTAATATATTGCGGACATGGGAGGCAGAACATAGATTTCCATTACCGGGAGATATTGGGGTGATTTGCAATATATTCGCAGTTATTTAACAATAATAAAAAGAATTTTGTCTGCACCCTAAATGGTTGAATGAAAAATATTTGGTGTAGTCAAAAGGATTTCGTTGTTAGTTAGAAAGACGAGCCTTATTTCAAGTTAAGAGTTCAAACCATTGTTGAACTCAGAATTCTTTAATTCTATTTCCTATACTTCTCTCCAGATTGGGGGGGGGTGTCCAAGTTTTTAATAAAAAAACAAAGTAGACCCTCCTGCCCTGAAGATTGTTCACTCCTACGTACAATCTTTGAAACTGAATATACTGTATATTATGTACGAATATATGTTCACAAATGGCAGATTTTTTTTAAAAAAAGCTTTAAAAATGATAGGTTTTATAGAATCATATTACAATGAGACATTTCTGAAGTAAATAATGAGAGATCGGCCCTATTAAATGCATGTCTGCACCTCTAATCCCTATTGCCATGGAGCATTGTATATTAGAAAAGATACAGCTTCTAAAATATTTTATATATCACTTATATCATATTATATTATTAATTACTCTTTCCTAGCTTCCGGAGAAGTTCTTATTTTAGATCTTGTTATATTTGTAACATTGTCTAATTGTAGTAGTTAACTATTGTATAAATAAATGTAAGTCAGAAGGATTTAATCAACTGAAGGTTTATATTAAAGAATCAGGCAGAGAAATGATCAGAAATAATTAATTGCCTTTCCTTTTAAACAAAATAAAACCTAATAAGGAATCTGAATGGTAGGAATATATTCTGAAATTTGCTTGAGAAAAAGGCATTCAAAACTACCAGCATGCAGTCTTACTGTGACCCAGAGATAATGTATTTAGACAGGGAAAGAAAGGCAAATGCCTGCAACGGGAATGCAGGGATTTGGGGATCTGTTTTATGCTTGCTAAAAATGTCTTTGCTAAAAAATTTAAAAATCAAGAGTCTCTGGCAAAGAATAAAGAAAAGCAGAGCCAGGAACTTATTTTTTAAAACACCTAATTTTTATTCAAGAAGACGAAACAAATGCAAGATTGTATAGAGCATCAACAGATAATACATTCATTTACAGTAGCTATTTAAAACCCCACAAAACAATATTTGCAATAAAACTACTCTGGTTGAGGCAATGCATTATGTTTTTCAGCTTTTCTTACACACTTCCAGTATTACCATCTTACTTTTGTGATTTTTCATATATTCTACAAATATCTTCCATAACTGTTTGAAAAAGATCTACTAGCCCCATATATCTAAAACTATACTTTCAAACTTTGTTGAAAATCTAGCAGGCACTGTTCCTGCTGTTGATGCAGCTTACAGTTTCACTTTTTTTCTCCTCCCTCCCTCCCTCTCTTGGAGATGCATCACACTTTTGATTGTGGATGAAGGTTTGTTCTCCGAGCTTGTGGGTTGGTTTCCGAACCTTTCATTACCAGGCTAGGTAGCATCTTCAGCTCGGAGAATGAACCTGTCACCCTCATCCTACACCCGAACTACAGATATTCACCACTATTGCAAACTTTTGATTGTATGCAACTTTTGATAGATCAAAATGCTCATCTCCTTTTTGTATGCATTGTTCCTACTCGGATGATCTTCTATTCCTCCTCCTAAAACTAAACTTAATGATGATGATGATGATGATGATGATGATGATGATGATGATGATGATGATGTTGGGAGGGACCTTGGAGGTCATCTAGCCCAACCCCCTGCTCTGGTTTTCATTTTTTTCATTTTTCCTGCCAAACTTTTCATTTTTCCTGCCAAATTGCCAAATTTGCATTTCTCTCTGTTGAAATTCATCTTGTCAGTTACTGTCTGGTGCTTCGCTTTGTTAAGATCTTCTTGAATGCTGAGTCCTCCAAATTATTTGTGTGGTCCATAGATTTCATAGTCTCCTTTTCAAATCAACTCAAATTTATTACAGTCCCAAGGTCAAATACAAACCAGTATCTAATAAAAGGTTCTATGCATAACAAAAAAAAATGCAGTAGAATCTAAAAAAAATTAAGAACAAAGATACTAAAATAAATCTAAATAAAACGCTAGTATAAGAAGTTCCAAATCTAAGTAATGGTTTACTTGGTAATGTACAAACGGTGGCAGAAAACTGGGTGATCTCACAGGTTATTTTCAAATAGCCAGAAGGAGTTTCCCCCCTGCCCTGAAGACAAGAGGAAAATGCATCAGACTCAAAACATCATGTCACTTTCTGAACCTCTGGAATGAGGCCGGCAGAGCTGATGCCTTGACACAAGGCTGGCGCTTGTTGCACCAGCTGCTCCAGAGGAGGCAGGGCTGGTGCTTCCTGAGGAGTTCTGGCTGGGGGCACGTGAAGTGGCACCCCCAGCTGCAAGAATGCTTCTGTCCTCGCATACCAGCAGACCACTGTAGTAGCTGAGGGGCTTGATAAGCAAAACGCAGTATCAGTCACGTAGGCATTTAGAAGAGGATCTTTTTCTGGCATTTAAATTCATTATTTCCTGCCTTTATTAATAATGGCTCTAAATCAAAAGTCAAAAGCTGTCAGGAAAGGAGGTAGCTTTGTTTTGCCCTTGGAAGTATTTGAATTACATCCAGTTCAGCCCACATTTCCATAGAACTGTCAATAATAGTTCAAATACTAAATATAAAAAAATATGTAAATTAATTTGGTCTAGTGATTTAGTTAACATTTAGTTAACATCTTTTAGTAGCATTCTTTTATTACTCTGGGTATTTGGCCTATTCCTTTCTTCTTTTGATTGTATAGATGTTATATTAATACTTTTTAACTAAAGCCTACTTTTAGTTTTATCTGCTTGTTTGAATATGAATAAATTAAAATAAAATTCTGAAGTTCTTCTGCAGTGAACTTTGACCTATTTAAAACTTTCCATCATATAGCACTGCCTAAAGTGTTTTATTGTCTTATTGTCTTTTACTGTCTATTGACTGAGTTTTAAGACTTTATCAGTGTATTAGCATACTAATACACACCCACACCCATATACATATAAACATAGATACATGTATTCACACTAACATACTGAGAGCCAGTTTGGTGTTGTGGTCAAAGTGCTGGTCCAGAAACCAGGAAACGGAGTTCAAGGCCTCCCTTTGGCACATAAGCTTACTGGGTAACTTTGGGCACTGTTTCTGTCTGCCCAACCCGCCTCACAGGGCTGTTGTTGTGGGAAAAATAGGGGGGCAAGAGAAATAGGTACGTTTGCTGTCTTGCATTGACAATGAGATACAAATCTAATGTTATCACTATATTTATAATACTTTCATTATGTAATAATTTTATCAATGTAAATATTAAATCTCATAGTTCTAGTACTTTTTTAGTATCAATTGTATGTTATATTTTCAAACAGCTTTTTAAAAAACTAATAATTAACTAACTTCCCTTTCTAGTTTATCTAGATAAACGTTTTGTTTTTCCTGAGGTTTCTAAGAAGTTTTTTCCATGCACCTTGCATCCCAGCTTTAAAAACATCTGTGTATATCTAGTGATATGCGATCATACTTTATTAAATAATTGTTTAATATCTTATTTAAGAATGTGTGACATCACTGGTTAAAAAAATAATGTACGATTTAATTTCCATTGGTGTAAATTAGTTTTCTTAATTGAGGTAGATAAGATAATGGAAACTTGTGGGCTTTATGCTATTTTGAATTTCAGTTCATATACCCTCCCCCTATCACGGATCTTGTGGAAAACCTACTATGTTTTTAAAAATGTTTTCTGGAGAAAAATGCAATTTGTATTTCCATATACAGATAATCCTCAACTTACAACCGTTCATTTAGTGACTGTTCAAAATTATAACGGCACTGAAAAAAGTGACTTATGAACTTTTTTCACAGTTACAATCTTTGCAGCATCTCCATGAACATGTGATCAAAATTCAGATGCTTGGCAAATGGTTCATACTTATGACTGTTGCAGTGTCCCGGGGTCATGTGATCATCTTTTGCAACCTTCTGACAAGCAAAGTCAATAGGGAACACTTAACAACCACGTTACTAAGTTATCAACTGCAGTGATTCACTTAACAATTGTGGGATGAAATGTCGTAAATGGGGCAAAATTTACTTAACAAACGTCTCACTGAACAATATAAATTTTGGGCTTAATTGTGGTTATAAGTTGAGGACCTCCTGTATTTCCTTTAGCGATTAGTTCTTCTTTTCTACAAAACTTTTTATAAAAATATATCTCCTTTTTAGCTTGTTAAATGGTTGAAATGCAAATGTGAAACTGGAAAATCTATACTTGATATATTCTTTATATTTTTTTCCAAATAACTTACCGCATATTGTAAAAACTAGCAGCTTTTTATTAACTTTATGTACTTCTTTAAGGAGATATATCATAGAATAACAGAGTTGGAAGGGACCTTGGATGTCTTCTAATACAACAACCTGCTCAAGTATTGATTCGTTGAACAGGTTAGCCTCCAGACTCTTATCATCTTTGTTGCTCTTCTCTG